TTTTTATTACTTAGTTTGTAATGTTAAGGCCCAAATCCTGCATTTGTAGAGCGGCTTAACTTTTTGCATTTAAGAAGGCTAGGTGAAGCAGGAATTAAAGAATATCATAGTGTCTCCTTCTGGGTCACAATAATTGGATGACACGGCATTAGTGCATGCCATATCTTGGAAGAACGGAATCCAGATAAGCACTAATCACTCAAAAATTAGCTTAATACACATTTAAGCAATCTCTGTTAAATTTCCTGTTTCAACCTGAAAATCACAAATGCCAAGGATCCAAAGCACTGTCAGCGTTAGCAAGCCACTAAGATCCATTTTTTCCTACTAAACATCTTACATTCTTTCTGATTTTATCTCTAGACTGTAAGTTAATTAACGTGGGTAGGAAATAAAAAGATGATGAAAATGGCTATTCTCATCATTTAGTTACCTGATTTTGCTATACTGATGATATCTTAGGAATTTATGTCTACTTGTCTTATTTTCACTTTGTATTGCCATATTTATTAATTTTAATAATTATCACTATATCTAGCCTTTACAAGCGAACTACTTCCATGTGGGCTCTGTGCTAGCTAGTTAACTTGTATCACCATGATTTTAATCTGTTTCGTTTGCCACTGTTGTATTGAGAGATAAATTTCATAGATTCTATTAATATATTTTCTGTTGAATAGTTGGAGTGCACCTTAGAAGAACTTCAATATCAAAGACAAAATTAAATACTGAAAAGCATACAGACAGCATATATTAATTCAGAATTTCAAAGGAGTAAAAAGTAGCCAAATTCATAGTTGACAGAGCTTTGAGTAATTTTTTCCCTCCAAGAACTACAATAGTGTAGTCTTGATTTAAGTTTGTTTGTTCCCCCTATGCAGAAAGTGGCTAGTGATTTTATCTAGTAAAAAGTTGACTTCCAGAAGCTAAAGTAGCCTTCTAAAAGCTATTGAGTACTTCTGACCGTTGTGACTCAAGGGAAGTCTACCATGAATTCTTCAAGATGCTCCTTCACAGAAATAATTCATGATAAAGGCCTTAGAATAATGCACAAAATATTAAACAGAAGACTAATTTTCTATAGATTTCTGTTCAAGGATTAAAATTCACATGGGATGGTAATTTAAACAGGAGCAGAAAGGGCAGTTCCACTAAAAGATAATCACAGAATAAAACAGGCTGTGAAGATTTAGTCCACGTGGGTTTTGGGTGTTATAGAATTGGTACAGATTCTGCATATCAATGCAATTTCTTTGTAATAGCAAGATTTTGCTAGACTTCAGTATTTAAGTTCACTTTGTCCAGACAATATACCCTAATAAAACTTATTTTCTATTCTTAAAATTTTCGATGGTGAATCTACATGAGTTTGTAAAAGATGTAAAAGTTTGTCTTTTGTTTGTAAATTTGTCTTTTAGTTTGTAGAAGATGCTTTTGAAACTGTTTTGTGACCTCGGTTTATGAGATACTGATGCTAATGGAATAGGTTAATATTTGACACATTAACCTTTGATAAAATGGTTGTTTATTTTTACTACTTAATCACTTTTTTTTACTACTATTTGAAATACTGCCTGGAAATTACTATAAAGACACAACACTGAATACTTTTTACTGACTGTTTTGGACTATTGCTATGGAGTTGGGACTTTATATTCAGGCTTTAAAACCTATAGTGATGGTGTTGCCCAATAAAAGTTTTTCTGCTGTGTTTGAGCTTAGAGCTCCATAAGATGCAGCACAACTGATCCTGTCCTTACCAGAAGCCTGGTCACCGAAGGCTCATGAAACCTTTGGGGTCATGACTCAAGCCTTTTCCCCTCTTCAGAGTAGCGGCTAAATGGGTATTTAATTGGGAGTGGAAGCGGTGAATTGGTGTGTGCTGCAGTAGGGAGATGCAGTTAGCATGGCTCATCTCGTGCGACGGAAGAAGGTGTCTGACTCCTGTGTCTGAAACTTCTGTCAAGTTCTTGAACATATTTCTCACAGCAGAAATAAGAAGAATTTTGAGGGAAATGGGGAATCAAATTTAGATGTGTTTCTTTTCCTATTGATTTCTAGAGCAGTTTAAGTTTTTGGTACCTTGTCTTTTTAATAGTGTTTAATGTTTGATCAGTTTCCTATTTATTAAAAAAAAAAAAAGAGAAAGTAACCTGGTTTTCCTTTTTTCTTTAATACTAAGAAGTATATATTCTTTTCAATATAAAGACAAAATAATAAAAATAGGTTTCGAACCTTAGCAAAAAATGTAAATTTCATATGCAAAATAATTGTATTCTCAAAAATCTATTCTTAGAATGTTTACTAACAGTATCAGCATTTTTGATACTACACTGTCTCTAGCCTTTGTGCTACATCATATTAGTATTCTAAAAAGTTATCTTGAGAGGAAAAAATTTAATGATACTGATTGTTTCTGCATTCTAGCATCTCATCTGTGCTATACTTGACATTACAGGATGCAGTCGGGTAGTCAGTAGGGCAACTTAAATTGTTCCTGTAAGATGCTGTTTCACTGCAGTTTAAAAATAAAGGTTTGAAAGAGCTCTGAATATATTTTTAAGTTACTGTGTTCAAAATTGAATCATATTTAAAAAAAAAAACACAACACGTCAATTATGGAAAAGTTAAGGTTTTCTCTTGAAATTATTGATTTGTCCCATAAGGGCATTGGTTGTATTTTTCTTAGCTCTCCCCTATCTACTACTTGGGTGAAAGAGCTCAAGACTGAGGAGGGTCCAAAATAGGAGCATGTTGCAAAAGCAGTCTGTGGAACATGCAGGAGGTCAGCCAGGATGAGCCTCCTGGTCTGACATTTGGCATTTACTGACAGCTTGCAGGGTCCAGTGCTCTGAGGTTTTCAGTGCATCTTGAGTGGTTTAATCTGAGTTTTAATTTCTGTTCCTAAAAGGTGTTTTGTCTTAAAGAGAAATCACGTAACTCTATGTAGCTTTTGTCATGCAAACCCTTTGTGAAGGCGCGGCACGTATCATTGCATCCTTACTAATGAAATGCTGCGCTTCCTTCAGAGGTTTCAGTACTGTATTTGACTTGCGGAAGACCAGAAGTTCCTACAAGGCAGTCTGTCTTAGTGGTAGTTTTATCAGTGGATTTCTCTTTTATCCCTTCTGGCTACTTATTTTGTCTTAGTAATTCAGTCTTCTCATAGTTCCCCTGTTTTGCACTGTCTTCTGGTTTTAGACTTCTTGCCTGCAGCATATATTCTCCTAATCTGTCAAAAAGCCGAGCTGATTTTTGCTAAAACTTCCCCTGGAAACATTGCTCTAGGTGAATGCCCAGCATCGATAGCTTCAGTCCAAATGGCTGTTCTGGTGGGAAATACTGACCAGCTAGACCTGCCTGCCTGCTACACTGCTAGTCTATTGGTAGGGAAACACTTCAACTCTGTGTCTCTGGACTCATTTCATTTGCTGTGAGTGTAAGAGGTAGAAACTGGAAGGTTCCTTAACTTTAAATCTGCTGACTAGAAATCAAGATTTTAAAAAATTTCCAGTTAGATTTTTTTTTTCCCAGCTAATGAAACAAAAATAGTTTCCCTGATAGGAATGTGCTATGTTGTACCTTCCCAGATTGCCCTGAGCAAGAAATGGTACAGGGGTGAGCTCAGAAAAAGGGAGGCAGGGTAGGCTTTATATGCTTCTAAACATTGTTCTAAAGGAAGGATAAATTAGTTAGTTCCTTCCCCTGCATGGAACGGCATTGTTCCCTTTTCTAGTTAGCTGGTAAGCAGAAAAGATGGAGTTAAGTTTTCCATCCTTTTTTCCTTCACTTCTAGGCAGCTAGGAGATAATGTATAAATAGCTTCAGGTCTTCTGCCTAAATCAGAGACCAAGTGGAGAATTAGGGGGTGAAGGGGGAAATCCTTTTCAGACCCTGCCAACATTTGTGCCTTCATTTTAGTTTGTATCTTTACTGTAATTAACAGTAATCTTTATACATTTTCATCTGTACTATATTGCCTGATTTTCTGAAATTCTCTAATAGTGAGATGCATTTGTTTTCATCTTACCTGCAATGCATGAAAATATTCAGTTGTTTTTTTAAGACTCTAATGGAAGAGGACAATTAAGTTGTTGGTATGAAACACATCATCAGACTCTTCATGTCATGCCCACTGCCTATCTGTTATTCCTTCACTATAATATAGTATATCCCAAAATGGGTCTCTCAGCTGATAAACTTTAGGAGGGGAATCTCTGCTTTAGAGAAATAAGAAGCGGTATCCTTTCACCATTTGCACCTGTTTCTAGTGAGTAAACTCCAAATATTTCCTTCTGAAAAGAGATTGTAGCAAGTATAGACAATCTTTAACAAAACCTTTAAGCAGTTTGTAATTTTTTTTTCTGTTGGACAGTAATGAGCAAACCTTCACAGCAGGTCTGCTAAAGGAGCTTTTTGAACACGTACAGCAAGTCCTCACTTGTGTGTTGCATGTAGACTGCAGATGTCTGATTTAAACAAGTTAGTGGTGCTGTTCATGTTGGGCAGGACGTATTTGCCATGCATGTCTTAAAACTTTTTCACTAATGTGAAAGTACATAAAAGCCTGAGTAGCAGTATTTACTGATAAAACTGTCTAGATTGAATCTGGTTCTCCTTGCTATAAAGCCTCTCTGTCAAAATCACTTTCAGAGTCCAGTTGTTACTGCTATAGAAATTTGAAGTATGTTGACTTGTTGGACCGAAAAAGCGAAATATCTCTAGCTACGTGAAAATGAAGCTCACACCTTGTAACAATTCACATCCAAAAGCTAGAGCACTAGTACTGACCATAATAATCTATTTTTTGAACTGGAAATTGTAGGCTTGGAATCAGGTGTCTGTTGGATTTAATTAGTTTAGTGATATTAAATTTATTTTCTGTTTTTAAACTGTTTTCGTGTTATTGAAAAATCAGGGCTAACAATTGATTTCTCATTAGTGAATAAGTCATTACTTTCACCCAGAAAAAAGCGGGAATATTAGTATTTTTAACCTACCTATAGATAATACATGCACTGTTCCTGCATGTGTCGCAATTAGCCGTGTCTTGACCAGTCCGATATGAAAGCCTACAAAGACAAGAACACGAGGTCATTATAATTTGTTTTAACATGTTTCTGCCTTCTATGATACTTTTCATAGAAATCAGAACTTTAGGATTTTTTCTTTAACTTTAATATTGAATGATTGCAAGGAGAAAATACAAGATTTATTTCTGTTACACTTTTGTAAATTAAAAGAGAAAACAAGGAAACCAAGTTATGTGAACTTCCTTTTGCATAAAGCTTCTCTGTACCGAAGTGATGAACCATCACTGTAAACAGACTGTTTCCGCAGATGTGACAGTGCTGGTTTGCTGGATTTTTTTCTGCTTTCTGAAATACGTGAGGCTTTTCCTAGTTATTGGTGGATGTATAGAATGTAATACTGGGAAGTGGCATCTATTTAGAAATTTTGTCCCTCAGCAATGAGGTCTGAAGATCTGTTGTAGGGATGTTCATGTCTTAAAAAGAAGAAAATGCCATTTAGATAACATTTCCTGTACTCACCTAGCCGACACCTACCCTTTGTCACACTTTGGTTTGAAGTCTGTTACAGCAGTGTCTCTTAATTTACCAATGTATTGTCTCTGACTTGGTCAATTTGAATTAAAAAGGGTTTTTTAAGGTATGCAAGTACTTTTTTGTACATAGAAATTTCATTAAAATAAATATATTCAATTAAAAAGAAAGTTTAAAATAAAAATTCCTAAGTTAATATTTATGTAGTAGTACTTACTTCCTTTTTTTGTAAAATCACAAACTTAGAATCTTTTAAAGTTATTTTCAATTTGTGTAAAATACAGACCAGTATCTGCAAAGTTTCTTCATAGTTGTTTTTAAAAGAAATGGGTAAATACCTCATCTGTGGAAGTTTAAAGATGCAGAAAATATATCTGCTCAGGGTTACTTAAGGAGGTGCTTCTGAAGTCAGGTTCTACCCTGAAGCCTGGGACCTTCCTTACCCAAACAGTTCAACTAATTGACCTCAAATAATTTGGTGTTAGCTTTGCTTAACAGGGGCATCATCTCTGCACCTTCCCTGCCCTCAGCTGTCCTTGCTGTGGGGACAGAACACCTTTTCCTCTGCTTCCCTGACAACGTAACAATAATGAAAGATCCAACATCTGCAAAAATGCTTACTTAATATAATATATATATAAAATATATATAATATAATATAGCAAACCTATATAATAGAAAGTATTAATGGGAAATGATACACAGACTGTTTAATGTGCCTGTCCCTAAGACGGAAAATCAGCATTTCCTAAATGCTGCAGGCTGTTTATTTATCTTAGTGAACATACTGTTTTCTTTGAAAATTATCATCTGGTCCTGTGTCACTTTTCTTTACTATTTTAAAGGTTTGAATATTGGTTTAAAAGTTTATTACATTACTTATAAATATGTATTTTATATAAACTTACACCTTTGAGAAAGAAATTTACTGGTGTGAACTTGAAGGCAGAGAGCGAACCTGAAGTTTGTTAGACCAAGCTTGTCTTCACCGGTGACATTTCTACTTCCACTCTGATTACTTTGATTATCAATCGTTTGGGGTGGTGTCACCGCAAAGTGCTCTGGGCCTCTGAATACAGCTCCTTGGCACAGTGGTAGCACAGATAGTTCATAACAGGTGAATCTACTTCTTTCACAATAAAGACTTTTTCTTCTTCTGACAGCAAAATGCAAGGTAGAATTCTTGCTGTTCTAGTTGTTTGTTATTTGAAGAGGCTTGGAACACTATGGATTTGAAACTTCATATCAAGTAGTACGTCAGTGGCCTCAGAAATACTTTTTATTCAGAGTTACATACTCAAATTACCTAGATTGCTAAATTTTAACACAACAGCAAAGCCAGATGTGCAAAAGAACTTCTACAAAGCAGAATGTCTATATTATGTACTATTCCTTATGGGGGAAAAAACCAGTACTGGTTTTTAGTTGATTATACTTACTTTTTATACTCTCTAAGAGGGGTGAAATAGTTACCTGTTTTTCAATTCCCCTTTTAAAATCTTTTGGAAGTTGACATTCAAATTGTCACCACACTGTTAAACTTGGACTTATAAATTGTTTTTTCCAAGCTATTGATCAAATACTAAAAACTCTTACTGAAGATAAAACATTTAAAGTTTACAGATCAGTTGATGAAAGCCTTTATTTACTGGGGACATAAATGGTAGTTAATAATCGCCTTCAGAGGAATACAGCGCAGTTGCCTGAGTGCCTCTTAATAGGTAAAGACATAAACACACTGCATTGGGTGCCAGGTTGATTTTTTTTCTCATTAGTTTCCAGTTGGGACACTTCCATTCATCTTTGTACGCCTGCAAACTACCATTCAAATGCACAGTTAATTATCTGGCTCGTAGACTAACAACCTCCTGCTCTCTGCCAGTCTCTCCTGTTTCTGCACAGTGCTGCAGGGTTTATGCTGTTCATGTTTGGCCTGCCTCTTTGCTCTGCTGTTTAAGAAGTAATTTAATAATAAGGTTTTTTTAGTGAGTTTTTCAAAGTCCAGTGTTTACGAAAGCAAATTGTAGTATCCACGTTATTTATCCTGCTAATACCTGTCCCCGTTATCCTGGACTGCCGTGAGATGAGCCGTGTGACAAAGAGTGACAGTGACATCTTATTTGTGAAGTTCCTTAGGAAAATGGTTGGTTGTATTTTAGGGACGTGCCTGGTGCTCTGAGGGATTTGCTCTAAAAGAGCGAGGTTTCTGGTGGCAGGTGTAAAAGCAAGGTGGCCAGGTCGTCTGTTTACAGTGAATCTTGACAATTCTTTATTTTTATTTTTGCCCCCTAACTGGGGTCATTGAGAACCAGGGCTTTCACTGTGGGACTGGGAAAAGGTGAGAATTTTTTGTTTGAAAGAGAAGGGAGGATGAAGACTATTCCTCTGTGTGCTGAAAACCATGAGTGGAGAAGAAGAAGGATAAATCAGAGCCCCCAGGACAAATCTGCAGTGGTGGCGTATCCCAGTGCTAGCCCCTTCAATCTGGTGCAGAACTTAGGAACGCTTCAGCAAGAAGTCATATGGGATTAAACACCCAAATAAACATACTGCAGTACTAAAAATCATAATTTTATGAATCCTCACCTGCCCTGTGCTCACACCCTAAAACAGAAGTATGTGTATAGTCACTATCTTAGTTACTATGATGGTTTACCAACCAGTTTCCACCAGCACCATGACTATTTTAACGAAACAGTAATATTTTAGTTGTGATAAACTCACTGAATGCTGGTAGGCTGGTTACTTATTTAGCAAAAGCCATACTATATTTGGTCTTAATGTGGATGTGCCAGTTCAGTCCTACTTCCATAACTGGCAGTGTTTTTGATATCTTATTAAAAATAAGGTGGTATATACACTTTAGGTTAATAAACTGTCTTTCTCAAAATTGAGTTTTCAGTATTTTATTTAAATTAGTTTCTAAAGAGTATGATGAACTTTAAACGCCCAATAATTCCAGGCTTTCAGATACTTTAAAAACATATTTCCTAGTTGATGGTATAAGGCAGACTTGTTAAGCTGATGAAAATGGTCCTTTGATGTAAGTATTTAAAAATTATATGATATTTGGATGATCAGTTTGAAATACTGATTTCTCAGCTTACATGTTCAGCACTGCTTGGTTTTAGCATCGTCATTCACAAGCTGTACTGTTTATGGTGATACATTTTTTTCCAGTCGGATGTAATTTATGATGAACTTTTCTTAAAGCATCATTTTCCGTGTTGAATATGTTCAGCTTTTCAGAGATGGTTTTCCTTTCAAACTACGGATTTAGTAATGTTGCCTTCTCTGAACCATCCTGTTAGTTAGACTTCTTTATAAGCCCCGAGAACACTACATGGCGTCATAGCGTTTGGTTTCCGTAAGGCAGTTTGATAGCCCTTTAGCCAGGGCTGTGTTGTGTGAGTGTTAGTACAGTATAAATTTAATTATATCTATATAAATTAAACTCTTCATGAAAGAATTCTGTTGTTGATACCGTAGGGCTTTGGACTTTCACTTTCTTGTTTCCACATAATTATCTACATAAACACTTGCATGGAATTAATCTCCTTCATGCCAGCAAAGATTTTACTATTGGCATAGCGTTTCCATGTAAATCTTAGGCAATGAGGCTGATCTGCAGTGGAGACTTACTGAAAAATGGAGCTTCCTATCAGTGTTAACTGCTAGAAACAGTTTGCGAGCACAGTCTGGATACCGGCTTCAGGAGAGCAGAGTTCTGGGTGATTATGTTTTCCTTGTGAGATAGAGTATTTTAGATGAGCTACTTTTTTCCTTTAAAAAAAAATTAAGGGTATTCCAGTGTAGAAGAGCTTAGGCCAGAAACCAGTAATTTTTTTCTTCATTGGTAAACTACTCGGTGTTTTTCTGTAAGAGTAAATACTGTAAAATGTGAAGTTTTTCACAAAAAACAAAGATTCCTACAGAAGATTTGTTTTCTTTTTAGAGAAATGAAAGTTGATTTTGGTCTGCTTTAGATCCAAAGTGGAGTATTTCACTTTGTACTGCGTGAGATACCTGGGAGCCAGGAGTTCCCCCCAAAGCTACAACTCCCATGGGCAATGTACTTCACGTAAAAATAATCTCAGCATTAAGCCTTGCAGCTCATTTTACTAATCTTAACATCTTGATTTTTGGGAACGCCTCATTGGTTTAAGTATAAGAAGTATTACATTTTATAACTTGCTTCAGTCTCTCCCTTCTTCCATCCACTCTTCAAGAAGGTTGAACTCGATTACCGTGCGGTGGTGCTGACCCGTCTGGTGTGTAAGCTGGGGCACCTCTGCTCTGCTGTGCTACTGCTTCGAGGTGTGGATGTGCCTAATCACTCTCGGAAAGAAGAAAGTCCATCAGCCTTAAAGTGAAATTGAGATCTAGTTACATTTTTGGTACGAAGGTGTGACCAAAAATTGTGAATGTTGAACTAGAGGTTGTTGATTTTGCCTTTCTGGTTGTCGTCTGTCTCCTGGCCTCATCCTGGCTCTCCTCGTGTGGTGCGG